ATAGAACAGGGATGAGATTCTCAGAAAATGAAAAAAGCTGAAATTTGCGAGCACGCAGTGTGAAGCCCTTTGTGGCATGGGGTCTAAGGCCCGCTTAAGGGCCTTGGGAAAATTTTCAAATTTAGATGCTCTGTTGTGCAAACTAAGCCCTCTAGGACACATTTTACAATAGAAACATTTGTGAAAGTCAACCCTAAAAAACCTCACCTTTTTATTATTTGTTCACTTAATATGTGTTATAAAGACCCACCTCAAGTTTTGTTCATCACCTGTGGTTTGTCACATGCTTCAAAATACATGTCAATTATAAGGCTCAATATTATCATATCTGATACCTGGAAGTCAAAATCATCTTGATGAAATTGGTCAGAAAAGTAAGAATTTCTAAGTCAGCTTTGCTGACAGCCAGCCCAAAAAGGCTGAACATATTTATAAAAGCCCCAAAAGCAGAAATCCTCCAAACAGCAGAAGAATGTCATCCCTGTATAGAACTTGACCAATCGTCAGACTGACTCCTCTCTGTCAAACTGCAGTGCCACACTACATGAGACACTGTCCTCGTTGCCCTGGTAGTTATGCTAGGGGAACTGAGCATTCATATTGCATACACCTCAGCACAGCCCCCTGCGAGTGTGGTGGATAGCTAACCTCAAACTGACCAGGACTTGTGCTGTCAGCCGGGTGTTAGTGTGGAGATCATGAGGGCTAGAACTCAATCAGTCCACAGACCGACTCCTGTCTGTCTAAGGGGGAGTGGGGAACCACGGAACGTGAGAGCCCCCAGCAATCCCGGGTTGCCCAGTTGACCCCATATATATACAGGCCTCGAATTTCATTTTTTTTCAGGGCACTGCCATCTGGCATTGGTGGACTGGCTGAAATAAAGGGCAGTAATGCCAAATGTGAGGGCATTAATGCCATCAGCATAACAAAGTTATGGGCATTAATGCCATCCTGATTTTTTTTATATCGCATGAAAATGATTCAGGTCTGAAAAAAGTAGGAAACGCAGTATACCTGAACATGTCCGTGATAAGTGCTGAACCAGCAGCCAAGTGTTGAAAGGCTTTGGCCTCTTTTGACTGCAGCCGTTCTTTCCTCAGCATTTTGCATGCCACAAAAACTGGCCAGGCCAGTGATTTTACACAGAACGTACGTGATAATTAATCAGGGTAGTTCCGATCGACCATACCAATGTCGTGTATGTACAAAGAAATATGGAAGGGCTGCATAGCACCATGATCAGAATATCGACAAGAATATAATATCAAATCAGTGCTCCGGCAATCATGTTTCAGAGCACTGAATATACGTGTATGTACAGTTCAGATCGTGCGCGGCGCGTAGCACTAAACTGCAAACACTACATTGCGGTGTTAGTTAAGATGCTGCCCCAACCATACAATTGTCCTGTGTGCACAAAAAATGTGGAGCTCTCGACGTACCGATAACGCGTACACGTTGATGAGCACTTGTTCTAGACTGACATTATTGCATGGTACATTAAAATACTTGGCTTAAGCATACGCTGTTATGTTAAGTTGTTGGATAGGCCGACGGGTGTCACCTGTACCGTGCTATGCTTACTATTGTGCAGTATGCATGGAGCGGGCCGGGCCGCCGCTGAGCGGCGGGCTGAGTGTACGATATTTCCACATACACACAGTGCACGCACGCCCTGCTTTACGCGTGCATGCCATGCATTTGGGTGGCACGGCGCGGTGTTCTGGTCGAATGTGAACAATCAAGGAATGATGTGTATGCCGCTTTCCATGCTGCTTTCCGAGTACCTTGCTGAACAGGGGCAGTCAACATACGCGTGTAGGGCACTGCGGCCAAATGGGAGGGCAACGACTGCCATGGCCGTCATGGTCGTCATAAAATTTGAGGCCTGTATATACTGCTAGGTGGTACGAGCTTCATAAAGTCAACATGGGGGAACCTACGCATGTGTAAACACAGAAAGAGACAAAGAAAAGTACCAATAAAAAACAACAAATACACACACACATGAGAAAATACACAGATTCATGTATAACGGAATTACAGTTTATTACTATTCGTTACAGTTGATCAAATTATAACAGGAACCTGATAGTGAAATGGAATCTTGAAAAACTTGAAGATGCCAAAAATGGCATATCCATTAGAAATGATGCAAAGAAAAAGAAGAAAAGGAAGGATGATCACCGCAGCCACTTCGCAATGTATCATGGGTATAGAGGGCACACTATGGTTGATCAAGTTTTAATGAATAGAATTAGATGCAAAAGAATACTGCATACGTAGCAACTGTGCGGGGTGGGATAAAAACAGAAGACATTAAAACTTTAAAGCATGAAACAGTGCCCACACATTATTTTGTAGTGTTATGTACAATGTACATGCTACAAGCACAGGCTACAAAAACTGGTCCCCTGCACAAATCGTGTGGGAACCAACGAAGTCTGTTCCTCACAGACTGAATTTCATGTACGCGTATTTCAAAGGATTGCCTGTAACAGTGCTCTGCACTATGTGCAAATGGAATCACTGTTTCCTGCATATTACGGCACATGAAGATTGGAAAGTGCCGTATCTTTTGAAAGTTTTAGGTGCTGTATTAAAGTTCCATGTTAAGCAGTTAACATCAATTTTCTTACCTGAAGAAGCTGCTGGGGCAGATTTTTTTACCAACACATTCTTCAACCTTGCAATTGTGCTTTGACCCAACCGAGCACGACACGTTAATATATCAACCGCGGAAATGAAATGAGAATTCGTTAATTAGTGTACATGTCCTCCATGGAGCAAATAAGGAAAATTATGGGTGTTACATGTCATCCGGCATTAAGTGGTTACAAATATTGTTTTCCCGCCCCATAAATGCAGAAAGCTGGAGGTTTTTTTCCATTATATGAAAAAGCCACAATTCCAGAAACTGCAGGAAGTCTGTTATCAATGGTGTGGTATCCCTGAGTTGTGCAATAGTCTTGCTACATTAAGGGACATATTATGTACTGTTATAAATTAGTCTCTTCTTTCTTTGGGTGTCCCTTTATCAATTGGTAATTAGAATATCTACAATTTCCAAATAAGTAAGTTCCACTCTGGATAATACCATATTTGTAAAATTTTAATTTATTTTAATTTCATCTTACTTCAAAGTATGTTTGTTTTAATGGCTAACCAGTTTATAACCACTCACTGCCGGGTGGAATTTGAAGTTGCATGATGTAAAACTGGGAGATTTTCAAAATTCTTCAAAAAATCATAGCTTCATTTACTGGACATTTACACCCAAACGAATGACTGTCTGATGACTCCTCTAATCTGACAGACAGCATCTACTGATGCCCAAGTATTTCAGCCAGGCCTACCGCCTTGTAAAAAGAGCCCAGATCGTGCAGTGTTATGTAACTTTCTCTTGTTCCTCAAACTGGCATAGTGCGCTACTGGCATCTTTTCAATGGGGCCAGATTAGCCTGCAGCGGTATTGTATCGCCCATCTCTAGAGCGCTTTTGACCCCGGTGGTAATCTGCTTGTGCTGAATGCCACAAACAGTGGTATAATCTCTCAAAATAAGGATGGATTTCCTGTGCTACTGACAACTGAAAAGCGTGGGCAATTCCCAGCAGCTCAGTCTTTTGTTCCAAGTACGGTCTTTTGTTACAAGGCCCAGCTCTTTTGTTTGGTTTTACGCTCTGTGCTTTTGCGTATAAAGCCTATGTGCCTGAAACTGGACTCCCCAGCAGTATATGGTTAATGTGTTATAATTCGGATTGTTTTAGCGTTTAAATCCAGGGCCCTTAGGGAGAACAGGGAGAACTAAATTACCCTTTGAAAATTGGTAAGGAAGTGTTACATTAAGCCCATTACTGCAGGTCAAAATGTTTAAAATCCCTAAGGATAATATCAATCCTTCCTTTGTTAAGGATGATAGAAGTGGCCCTACAAATCACCCAAGTAACTTCTTAGACATGAGCTGCATTCACACAACGGGCTAAAAATGGTAAAAACGTTAATGCGACTGCTTGTCAACATTGCATCGTGGTTTTTCTAATACTCTAACCATTCCCCTCCCCCATGCTATGCCTGCAGTCCATTTGCATTGGCTGAATTTCAATGAGCAGCTAATTTATGAGATCACTGGTTACTACTTCTCTGCTGTCACTTCTTACTAGTGGACCAAGGATGAGCAACGCTAAGCCATCAGCAATGCTTTTGCCTCCATGAAGCATCCAATACAAAGCTCTACATACACTGATGTTGCCACTAGTGTGTCAGGAAGCACTGACTTTGGGAGACCCAAGACCACTCATGCAGACAGCAGTGGAATACATCAACTATAAATATCAACATGCCCAAATAGAATATATTTGCAGAGGTACATGTATTTAAATATCTCTGAGATGTTAGCATGTTTTGAAGATGCAGTTAAAGACACTTTGAAATCTAATGTTACTCAACAGGCAATTTGTTTAGATAGTTAAGAAACTATTGTGAAGTGTCATTTGACAGTTTGCAAAATTCAATGGTTTGTTAATGTAAATGTCTATTTACTTACTAAACTTTCTTCAACATTGCAAAGTTACCTAGCATCATTAGTTTGTGTGCGTATTTTGATTTCTCCTATCAGACATTAATGCTTATATAAAAGTTGAAAAATGTTTGTTTAATGTTTAGAGTAAGTGGTGGCTTCAAATTTACATAAATACAGCATATTTATAAAATAATCTATTGCAAAAAGTCGACTCGTAAAAGGATCTTCAGTACAGTGCACATATGCATAAAACAATCTAATTTCAACAACATTCTGACGTCCCCAAAGTAGTTTAAACACTAAGATGCCTACGTGTGCCATTTATTTATTTATTTTATTAAAATTTAGAAGAGTAAGGTACTGCAGCTTTAATTATATTGAAGGTTATGAAGTATCTCACATTAAACAGTTTGCAAGGGAACATGTCTTTGAAAACAGCTCCAACTGCAAAGTTAACAGAAACAAACATAACTTTACCTTTATACAGAACATGTAATCAGTCGGTGCATGGTACTTTTTCTTTGCATTAGTAGCTTGGTAGATGTTGACATCACTGAATTGCACAAAGAAATGAAGATGTCTTGAATCCTGTAGGGATCATATGACCATTGTAGCAGCGTCAAATGTCTATTTGAAATGAAAACTGTTCGTACCTAAAACAAATATCTGCAGGAAAATGTAACTGAACACTTGATTTGAGCAAGAATTCATTCAGGTTATGATGAAAGAATGGTCAGAACATGCTGCATTTGGAATATCCAATAGGTTACCTATCAAGCAAAGGGTTTAGTAGTCTCCAATTGTTAAAAATATTTGTAGAAAATTTAATGTCACTGAACTCTTTAAATGGTTTATTTTCATTCAATGGACCACCAACACTACTGAAGACTGACTACTATGTGTTGCATAGAAAGGAATCTGTCTCATAACAATGACAACTTTAAAGTATTAAGCAGGTGTTTTTGTGTCCAGGTGATCAGTATGTGATCAGTAGATCAGTAATGGGCCTTCCCCTGCAGATGGTCTGTCAATTTCATGCATGGATTTAAACATATACATGTAAATCATCTTACACCGTAAGGTTAAGGAACATGGAAGATGAGGTTACCCTTCAAGGATCCAAATGGGAATTGAACAAGAGATTGCTAGGAAGATAATTTATGATAATACAGCAATCTTGAAATGATCTAATTCATGACTACCAGGTGAGCCCAACTAAGATTCATCTTTGTGGTTCTCTTACAGTTGAACAAAGGAAACTGGCAAAAACCTCCCCATAACTGGGTCACATTCCTTTGTGCTCTGCTTTCTTGTTTAGAATTCCTGATCACACAGCATGCATTGCTTCAGTGATTTTGAGCATTCAAAAATAAACTAAGACCAAGTGAGAGCACCTATAGTGCACTGCTTGACAATCTTCTGGAGACCTGAGATTCAAACCATGCTTCAGTCAACTTTCTTTATTTAACTGAAAATGAAAATAACAAATGACTGAACACTGACTTTTGAGTTGCCTTTCCCAGAGTAATAAAGGCCATTTTCTCTCAACAGACAGAACATCTTCTTCCAGGATTTCTTATGGCCTTCCCTGATATGTAAGTAACCCTGGATCTCAGGAATCTTATCAGCTGTTGACAGTAAGTCCTGGGTGAGGAAAAAAAAAGAGCAATACACCTATAAATTAAAACCCCAGTTCATAGTTTTTCCAGCAATTAATAGCAAGTAAGCTTGGCATAATAGTTGAAAATTGGTGGTTTGACAGTATTTAAGATTGAAATTTAAATATTGCACTTTCTGAAACATAAACTTCTTAATAACACGGAAGGTTTTTTACATGTCCTTACCAATAACCATGGTGTCTTAGGCCGTTTGCAACTGAGTGTTGGACTGTCACTGTCATCTTCATCTACAAGCATTTCCTCAGGGAAGAATTGCTACAAGAAATCAATTTGGAAAGTACAAATCACTTCCTGGTTATTTAACAACATAAATGAAATCTACAAAAAGTAGATGGGCATCATTTTCACTGAAAATTGTGTACTGAAAGGGTAACAGCCAAGTAAAAAGTATGATCAAACAAACCACTTAAACAACTCAAAATCAGAATGAAAGTTTCACAGTGGATGCATGCATAGTATACACATATTGACTGAATGGAGTAGGTGTGTCACAGTTAACGGCGTCAATATTTGGTGTACATGCATAAACCATTACTTCTGCATAATTTGTTTTAGAGATATTTCATTACCTGACAGTGCCTAAAGGACTAAAGCAAACACACATCCATTTTCTATTCAAATAAATTAAAAAGGCAAGAATTTTACATTTTGAGACTTCTTGGTAAAAATACTTTCATGTATGTTACCTATGAGAAATCCACACACTGCACAAAACTCTGATGGAAACTGGTATAGTACTTTGAAATATCTCCTTTTAGAATGAGGATGCAATGGGACAGTCATTTTTGGAGTGAGCGGTAAAGTTTAGAATGGACCAGTTTAAACTACAATGTGGTGTGCCCTAGAAAAGGCCTTTTCATTTAGGAAGGCATCACACATGTACACTGCTCTTACACCATTGCGTAATGTTTCATGAACTTGGTGCAGGTGTCAGAATGACATAGAGAATCTTTATATACATAAGTCCATCCACACAGTAAACATGCTAAGGACAGTGAGGTTTGAATGTTACAAAACTGCGCAATCTTATAGCCTGCTATTTTAGGCTCACCATTCCCTGACCCTTCTAATACAAGTGCATGAATAAGGTTTCAGAGGCAGACAGTATAACTGTAAGTTGACTCGTGGCAGCTCCCAACAACTGCTCCTGAGGCATGCCTGGGGCAAGATGTGACTTAGTCACATGTAAAACCACATCCTCCAATTCCTTTTCAATGCAAATTACAAAACGTATGTCTCTGCTGTCAACTATCACATGTCAATCAATCATCACAAGTCAATCACAAGTTGTCACTTCACGATGTTCAAGTCACAGGCCATTCAAATGAATTTAATTTGTGGGAGAGAGACAAGTCAACCGTTGAGACAAGTCGTCCGTTGGGACACTGTCCCATGTGTTTTCTTGGGACCTTTTGGGACTTGCCGAACCTGAAATTACATCATTTCAGTTCTTAATGGACTTTGCTTGCTCAGAAGACAGGATTCCAAGCTGAACTGAAACTAAATTTATTCACCGGCACAAGAAATTGCAGAAGGACTTGGCACCGAAAAAGCATGATCACAATGATCGTGAGCAAGGGTGCACCGGGCCCAACAGCTACACATTGTGTGGCGCAGGGCAGCTGAGTTAGGAAGCTGGATGGATGAAGTGCTGGAACTGGTAGGCAAAAACATTCCTAATTTCAAGTTTTTGTCTGCACTTTCTGTGCTATGTAGCTCTGGACAGTGATGTTAAGAGAAGAGAATTGACTCAAATTAGGCCTAGCTCTGAATCTGCACTGGCATATCTAGAGAAACCTGAACTCTACAAATGGCCTTTTTTAACATTTCAATATGGTCACCTTATGTCCAAAATGATGAAAAAGGTGATTAACAGTGATTACGTAAGTCCTACATGTACAGCACAATCCAGTGATTCACTTGCACATAGTCATTAACTCCCTCCTGTGTACATTAATCAATGGTTTTAGTATCATGGATTTTATTCAAAGGCAAATCAAATCAGGATGGAGCTCAATACATGTAAATGTACATACATTTGCAAGTTTTACAATTGCGCTGAACATGATCATCGAACTGATTGAAGTCCCTCACGGTACATACCGTATTTCATAACTATGCCCCCCGAGGACAAACCATGTAATTAGGGGTTCAGGGTATATGTGTAAATATCCAAAAATGTCTGAAATTAGAATGTAGCCCTACATGCACATGTATATACATGTTGATGTACCGTAAGCTGAGTAAGTACACAGAAAAGTTGAATTTCCTTATTTTGCTTCTTGTGTATTCATGTACATGTAGGTGTCCTTTGTACTACTGCTGGAGTGAAAACTACTGATAAATCTGTTCCCCATGTTAGTTCGGAGCATTGGAATTCAACGTAACTGCAGTTACAAGAGGCACGGGTACCAATGATAAAGGAAGCTGCTGTACAACAAGCTAGGAAATTAACAGGTGATGGTGAAAAGGCCTACTGTTGCATTTACATACAGACAGAGTGCCAGTTCTGATTAATGCAGTCATGAATCAAAGTTTGTGTGTACAATGTATGTCTGGGAGGGTACATCCATGTAGCACCAACATAATAAATGGTTCCCCCATGAACAGCCACGTGCCTGCCCCCACTTTAACATTCAGGTCCCCATGTACTCCCCATTTTGTGAGAACGCAAGGTTGCTATGCCAATGAATACATGTACACATGTACGTTGTATTTTGCACGTGTTCAAGTTCTGACACAAGTTTGTATGTGGATGTGTGGGGGGGGCATGTACCACCATCATAAATGATTCCTTCATCAACACATACATGCCTGGGCCCCCACTTTAACATTCAGGTCCCCGCATTCTCCCCATTTTGTTAGAACCCAAGGTTGTTATGGCACTGAATGTATGTACACAAGTAAGCTGTGTTTGTGTTCAAGTTCTGACATCAGTTTTAATTTCCCTGCATCAGCACAGTGATGCANATTCTTACACCTTTTTTCTATGCATCAACATATAGGCCTAACTGACACACAATGAATTAATACTTTCCTTGCTTCAGATGACACAGAAGAATTTTTGCCTACACACACACAAAGGAAGTCTTTTGACATGTTGGTGTGGCCAATGAAAATGCATTTCGTACCAAGACTGTTCTACAGAACGACTTAATCAAAATACCATGATTATCTGAAAAAAAATGCAACCAATAAAAAGATATATAAATATATGTGTACATGTCCCCAGCATGTTTGATTCAAGATTACTGCTGAAATTGTGAACACAGGTTTCGGAAGCATTATGCAAAGTTTTCAGCCGTCACAAGATCCTGATATTTTAAAGGTGTTCCCATGTCTTCTTTAGTATGTAGTGCAAAAAAAAAACTTTACCAGTATTTATATAATATACAATAGTGAAATGCCCTTAAGCAAAAATGCAGTTTTTGTCTTTTCCTTTATACATAGTAAGGACAGTTTAGCATTCTTTAACTGATAATCGTTCAACTTCTGGACCAGTTTCACTGTTCAATATTTTGAGTGTAGTTCTTAACACACCCTTTAATTCCACAATCAGAGTTTGTGCTGCTGTGCACTCGCAGATACAGTTGTTAAAAGTAATCATTTGTCCAGTTACTGTCAATAGGAAATAATATGTACATGTACTTTTGAAAGGATAGTGTGAAATTGATGTTTGCATTATTTTCTTCCTGTCTTTGAAATCGACAATTCTTAGTTTGTGAATACCAATGGCCCTAACAGTCCCAAATACCATTAAGATGATTTTACATAGTCACTGTTGCAACACCGTATACAATTCTCCAGCAAATCCCCGATCGGGCAATGAAACCCCTTATGAGAAAACTGAAGTGCGCCCTCACTTGATGAAATTCCACGTTTGTATTACCTGACTGATTATTTAATTCCCTACGTTTGACCATAGTATCAACATGGATGAGGCAATGAAGTACGGGGTGAATTGAATGAAGCATTTGCATTTGAAATAAGTATTTATGAAACCATTCGTTGCCCATTATTCTTTCAAGTAGGCAAGGGAAACATACTTTGTTTGTATCTGAGATCGCAATCAAGGTCATCTTATTCCAAACAAATATTGAAGAGATGTTGATTTTTTTTGTTTCCCGTATAAATTAAACTGAACTGAAAGTGTATTAAAAGTTTGTGGAGTCTGTTGTCAGTTAAATTTGTACATGTATGTACATTATGAAAAGAGTGCAGTGGGCCTTCACTTGATGGAAGTCAACATTGTATATTAATTGTGTCAGTCAGTCATTAAGATAGCTATTAAGGGAGGTGCTGTAGACGAAAATTGACCTGTGATAATGACGTATATAGAAGATAAGTCACATGACATTAAAAATGCACTCTTTGAAGCCCTATATCTCCAAAAGTACATGTCCCAGCAGGTTGAAACTTAGCAGATATCTGGAAGGGGATGTGTGATAAACGAAAATTGATCTCATGGGATAATGACGTATATAGAAGACAAGTCACATGACATTAAAAATGCACTCTTTGAAGCTCTATATCTCCAAAAGTACATGTCCCAGCGGGTTGAAACTTTGCAGATATCTGGATGGGCATGTGTGATAGACAAAAATTGACCTCATGGTATGATGACGTCATCAATTGACAAGTCACGTGAGATGAAAGGTGTATCCTTTAAAGCCTTATATCTCCAAAAGTACATGTCTCGGCGGGATGAAACTTTGCAGATATACAATCATGAGCATGACATTTTCATTGAAAAGTGAAAAAGCCCTATGTTCAGATGGAAACAGACATAGAAGATCTCGTTTCTTCCTCCACTGCTCAAAATTCCATTTAATTTGTGCATGTTTCTTCTACACACGACTTTAGTATTTTTACAACTTGGAATAGTCATCAAACTTGTACCAATGAAGGACCCTTAGGCATAGATGTGTCCAGAAGAATGATGTACACGTTTTCAAGACACAATTTTGGTTTAAACTTGGCGATCTTCAATCGTCATCAAAGTTACAGCCGGTAAAGACCACCAAGCAAAATTAATGCCTAATTAATAACATAATGATGACGTATTTACCTTATTTTACATTGATTTTGGAATATTTAATTTTTCCCCATAGGTTTTTTTACACGTTTTTTTCAACGGCTAGACTTCAACACTCATATAGATCTGACTGGTGACATATTATATGTTCTTGGTTTAAACCACAAGCTAGAGAAGGCACAAGAAGAAATCGTCATATTGACATCATCATATGCAATGG